CACACGCTAGGCCCTTGTTCTTGCTATTTTGCACACGCTATGCCCTTGTTCTTTTTATTTTGCACGTGCTAGGCCCTTGTTCTTGCAATTTTGCACACGCTAGGCCCTTGTTCTTTTTATTTTGCACACGCTAGGCCCTTGTTCTTGCAATTTTGCACACGCTAGGCCCGTGTTCTTGCTATTTTGCACACGCTATGCCCTTGTTCTTTTTATTTTGCATACGCTAGGCCCTTGTTCTTGCAATTTTGCACACGCTAGGCCCTTGTTCTTGCTATTTTGCAGACGCTATGCCCTTGTTCTTTATATTTTGCACACGCTAGGCTCTTGTTCTTGCGATTTTGCACATGCTAGACCCTTGTTCTTTTTAGTTTGCACACGCTAGGCCCTTGTTCTTGCTATTTCGCGAATGCTAGGCCCTTGTTTTTGATTTTTTGCACACGCTAGGCCCTTGCTCTTGCTATTTTGCACTCGCTAGGCCCTTATTCTTGCAATTTTGCACACGCTAGGCCCTTGTTCTTGCAATTTTGCACACGCCAGGCCCTTGTTCTTTTTATTTTGCACACGGTAGGCCCTTGTTCTTTTTATTTTGCACACGCTAGGCCCTTGTTCTTGCAGTTTTGCACACGCTAGGCCATTGTTCTTGCTATTCTGCACACGCTAGACCCTTGTTCTTGCAATTTTGCACACGCTAGGTCCTTGTTTTTGCAATTTTGCACTAGCTAGGCCTCTGTTCTTGCAATTTTACACACGCTAGACCCTTGTTCTTGCAATTTTGCACACGCTAGGCCCTTGTTCTTGCTATTTTGCACACAACAGACCCTTGTTCTTGCAAGTTTGCACACGCTATGCCGTTGTTCTTGCAATTTTGCACACGCTATGCCCTTGTTCTTGGTATTTTGCACACGCTAGGCCCTTGTTCTTGCAATTTTGCACACGCTAGGCCCTTGTTCTTGCAATTTTGCACACGCTAGGCCCTTGTTCTTGCAATTTTGCACATGCTTGGCCCTTGTTCTTGCAATTTTGCACACGCTATGCCTTTGTTCTTGCAATTTTGCACACACTAGGCCCTTGTTCTTGCAATTTTGACACGCTAGGCCCTTGTTCTTGCTATTTTGCACACGCTAGGCCCTTGTTCTTGCAATTTTGCACACGCTAGGCCCTTGTTCTTGCAATTTTGCACACGCTAGGCCCTTGTTCTTGCTATTTTGCACACGCTATTTTGCACACGCTAGACCCTTGTTCTTGCAATTTTGCACACGCTAGGCCCTTGTTCTTGCTATTTTGCACACGCTAGGCCCTTGTTCTTGCAATTTTGCACACGCTAGGCCCTTGTTCTTGCAATTTTGCACACGCTAGACCCTTGTTCTTGCAATTTTGCACACGCTATGCCCTTGTTCCTGCTATTTTACACACGCTATTTTGCACTCGCTAGGCCCTTGTTCTTGCAATTTTGCACACGCTAGGCCCTTGTTCTTGCAATTTTGCACACGCTAGGCCCTTGTTCTTTTTATTTTGCACACGCTAGGCCCTTGTTCTTTTTATTTTGCACAAGCTAGGCCCTTCTTCTTGCTATTTTGCAGACGCTATGCCTTTGTTCTTTTTTTTTTTCCACACGCTAGGCCCTTGTTCTTGCAATTTTGCACATGCTAGACCCTTATTCTTTATATTTTGCACACGCTAGGCCCTTGTTCTTGCTATTTTGCGAACGCTAGGCCCTTGTTCTTGATTTTTTGCACACGCTAGGCCCTTGCTCTTGCTATTCTGCACTCGCTAGGCCCTTGTTCTTGCAATTTTGCACACACTAGGTCCTTGTTTTTGCAATTTTGCACACGCCTGGCCCTTGTTCTTGCAATCTTGCACACGTTAGCCCTTGTTCTTGCTATTTTGCATACGCAACAAGGGCCTAGCGTGTGCAAAATAAAAAGAACAAGGGCATAGCATGTGCAAAATAGCAAGAACAAGGGCCTAGCGTGTGCAAAACAAAAAGAACAAGGGCATAGTGTGTGCAAAATAAAAAAAACAAGGGCCTAGCGTGTGCAAAATAAAAAGAACAAGGGCCTAGCGTGTGCAAAATAGCAAGAACAAGGGCATAGCATGTGCAAAATAAAAACAACAAGGGCCTAGCGTGTGCAAAATAAAAAGAACAAGGGCCTAGCGTGTGCAAAATAGCAAGAACAAGGGCATAGCGTGTGCAAAATAAAAAGAACAAGGGCCTAGCGTGTGCAAAATAAAAAGAACAAGGGCCTAGCGTGTGCAAGCCTTCTTGCGTATGCAAAATAGCAAGAACAAGGGCCTAGCGTGTGCAAAATAAAAAGAACAAGGGCATAGCATGTGCAAAATAAAAAGGACAAGGGCCTAGCGTGTGCAAAATAGCAAGAACAAGGGCCTAGCGTGTGCAAAATAAAAAGAACAAGGGCCTAGCGTGTGCAAAATAAAAAGAACAAGGGCCTAGCGTGTGCAAAATAAAAAGAACAAGGGCATAGCGTGTGCAAAATAAAAAGAACAAGGGCCTAGCGTGTGCAAAATAAAAAGAACAAGGGCCTAGCATGTGCAAAATTGCAAGAACAAGGGCCTAGCGTGTGCAAAATTGCAAGAACAAGGACCTAGCGAGTGCAAAATAGCAAGAGCAAGGGTTTAGCGTGTGCAAAAAATCAAGAACAAGGGCCTAGCGTTCGCGAAATAGCAAGAGCAAGGGCCTAGCGTGTGCAAAATAAAAAGAACAAGGGTCTAGCATGTGCAAAATTGAAAGAACAAGGGCCTAGCGTGTGCAAAATAAAAAGAACAAGGGCATAGCGTGTGCAAAATAGCAAGAACAAAGGCCTAGCGTGTGCAAAATAAAAAGAACAAGGGCCTAGCGTGTGCAAAATAAAAAGAACAAGGGCATAGCGTGTGCAAAAAATCAAGAACAAAGGCCTAGCGTTCGCGAAATAGCAAGAACAAGGGCCTAGCATGTGCAAAATAAAAAGAAGGGTCTAGCGTGTGCAAAATAAAAAGAACAAGGGCATAGCGTGTGCAAAATAGCAAGAACAAGGGCCTAGCGTGTGCAAAATAAAAAGAACAAGGGCCTAACGTGTGCAAAATAAAAAGAACAAGAGCCTAGCGTGTGCAAAATTGAAAGAACAAGGGCCTAACGTGTGCAAAATTGCAAGAACAAGGGCCTAGCGAGTGCAAAATAGCAAGAGCAAGGGCCTAGCGTGTGCAAAAAATCAAGAACAAGGGCCTAGCGTTCGCGAAATAGCAAAAGCAAGGGCCTAGCGTGTGCAAAATAAAAAGAACAAGGGTCTAGCATGTAAAAAATTGCAAGAACAAGGGCCTAGCGTGTGCAAAACAAAAATAACAAGGGCATAGCGTGTGCAAATTAGCAAGAACAAGGGCCTAGCGTGTGCAAAATAAAAAGATCAAGGGCCTAGCGTGTGCAAAATAAAAAGAACAAGAGCCTAGCGTGTGCAAAATGGAAAGAACAAGGGCCTAGCGTGTGCAAAATTGCAAGAACAAGGGCCTAGCGAGTGCAAAATAGCAAGAGCAAGGGCCTAGCGTGTGCAAAAAATCAAGAACAAGGGCCTAGCGTTCGCGAAATAGCAAGAACAAGTGCCTAGCGTGTGCAAAATATAAAGAACAAGGGTCTAGCATGTCCAAATTTTCAAGAACAAGGGCCTAGCGTATGCAAAATAAAAAGAACAAGGACATAGCGTATGCAAAATAGCAAGGACAAGGGTCTAGCGTGTGCAAAATAAAAAGAACAAGGGCATAGCGTGTGCAAAATAGCAAGAACAAGGGCCTAGCGTGTGCAAAATAAAAAGAACAAGGGCCTAGCGTGTGCAAAATAAAAAGAACAAGAGCCTAGCGTGTGCAAAAGTGAAAGAACAAGGGCCTAACGTGTGCAAAATTGCAAGAACAAGGGCCTAGCGAGTGCAAAATAGCAAGAGCAAGGGCCTAGCGTGTGCAAAAAATCAAGAACAAGGGCCTAGCGTTCGCGAAATAGCAAAAGCAAGGGCCTAGCGTGTGCAAAATAAAAAGAACAAGGGTCTAGCATGTGCAAAATTGCAAGAACAAGGGCCTAGCGTGTGCAAAACAAAAATAACAAGGGCATAGCGTGAGGAAAATAGCAAGAACAAGGGCCTAGCGTGTGCAAAATAAAAAGAACAAGGGCCTAGCGTGTGCAAAATAAAAAGAACAAGAGCCTAGCGTGTGCAAAATTGAAAGAACAAGGGCCTAGCGTGTGCAAAATTGCAAGAACAAGGGCCTAGCGAGTGCAAAATAGCAAGAGCAAGGGCCTAGCGTGTGCAAAAAATCAAGAACAAGGGCCTAGCGTTCGCGAAATAGCAAGAACAAGGGCCTAGCGTGTGCAAAATATAAAGAACAAGGGTCTAGCATGTGCAAAATTTCAAGAACAAGGGCCTAGCGTATGCAAAATTAAAAGAACAAGGACATAGCGTATGCAAAATAGCAAGAACAAGGGCCTAGCGTGTGCAAAATAAAAAGAACAAGGGCCTAGCGTGTGCAAAATAAAAAGAACAAGGGCATAGCGTGTGCAAAATAAAAAGAACAAGGGTCTAACATGTGCAAAATTGCAAGAACAAGGGCCTAGCGTGTGCAAAATTGCAAGAACAAGGGCCTAGCGAGTGCAAAATAGCAAGAGCAAGGGCCTAGCGTGTCAAGAAGTGAACGAGAGAATGTGTGAACTATGAACGAAGTGAGTACAAATAGGAAACCCTAGCTGGGTTGTACCCCCTATGGGATACCCCACTATAGCCTACACAAATAAGTAAGCTATAATGTTCTGACACACCCCCATAGGCAAAGTGGGGGAGAACAAGGGGTCACAACACCAGTCAAGCAAAGCAAAGCAAAGCTCAGGTTGGATCACAAAGTCACCACACATTCCGAGCACAAGTTCAAGGGCCACAAGGCCAGTTCACATGCAAGATCATATATATAGAGATATAAAAGAGTCAAGCAAGCAAGAGGAAGACTATATATATGTGACGGTACAAGGAAGGTCAAGAAGTGAGCAAGTGAGGCAAGACAGACACAAGACCCAGCTGCGTGCAGCAGCGCTGATGATCACAAGGCGCAAGTGCCTTGGTGAACACATCAGCAGTGTTGGCCTCAGAGGCCACGTACGCAAGTCGCAACTGTCCACGCTGCTGTAGCTCACGAGCAAGAAAGTAGCGGAGAGCAATGTGCTTTGTCCTGTGCTCCAGTCTCTGCTCTCGACACAAGGCCAGCATGGCCTTGTTGTCTACGTACAGGACTGGAGGAGAACGAGGCTGCTCTCCAAGGTCGGTCAGCAGGTAGGTGAGCCAGCGTAACTCCTGTGCAGCCATAGCCCCAGCGTAGATCTCAGCCTCACAACTGGAGCCGAGAACAGAAGACGAGCGGGTAGCCCGCCACGAAACAGAGCCGGAACCAAGGCTGAAGGTGTAACCCTGTGACGACCGCTGCGTAGCCTGGTCGTCAGCCCAAGAAGCGTCTGCGTGCCCAGTGAGGACCACTGGACTGCGCCCTCCAAGCACTAGCCCCATGCCTGACGTACTGCACAAGTAGCGCAACACCCTCTTTGCTGCAGCCATATGCTCTGGTCGGTGTCTCCCAGGAGCAACATAGCGTGCGAGAATGCTAAGAGGGTATGCAAGGTCAGGTCGAGTGCAGGTCATCAGGTACATGAGGCAGCCAACAAGCTCTGCATACGGGCCACTCGACTCTACGGACTCATCCGAAGGCAGAGGTGAGAGCGAGTGGCGAGTAGGCAGAGGAGTGGCCTGAGGCGAGGAGTACGTGAAGCCGAAGCGCTGAAGGACCTGCTGCACCATGTGTGACTGAGTCAGGGTAATGGTGCGGCGTGCTCTGTCCCGGGTGATCTGAAAGCCAAGGTAGCTGCGCAGTTCACCCAGGTCAGTGCACGTGTGTCTCTTCTGCAGCTCGGACTTCACGTAGGCGAGTCCAGCAGTGTCAGCTGTGGCAAAGACCAAGTCGTCGACGTACACGAGGATGTAGAACGGCGGCAGAGAGGTGTCGGTGCGCAGAAACAGCGATGGGTCGGCAGTAGACGGAGCAAACCCAAGTGCCGCGAGCGTAGTCCTCAGTGTGTCGTGCCACTCACGTGGCGCCTGGCGGAGACCGTAGACTGGACGCCGGAGACTCCACTGGGTACCAGGAGGGAAAGACCCAGTGAAGCCAGGTGGGCGGCGCAGCCAGATCTCCTCGTGCAGACTGCCCTGCAAGAAAGCTATGCTGAAGTCGAGAGAGTGCAGCTCGTAGTCACGGTGAGCAGCAACGTGCAGCAGAACCCGAAGAGTGGTCATCTTCGGGGTTGGGGAGAAGGTCTGAAAGTAGTCAACCCCCTGCCGCTGACTGAAGCCACGAGCCACGTAACGCGCCTTGAAGACAGGCGGAGAACCCGGCGGCCGCTTCACCCTGAAAATCCACATGCCACTGACGATGTTCGCCCCAGGAGGGGGGACAGCGTCGACGTAGGTGCCTGTGGACTTCCAGGAAGCCATCTCTGCGTCCATAGCTGCCTGCCACTGAGAGGAGTAGGGACCCTCTATCGCCTCCGCGTAAGAGCGCGGAGTCGGGATGTCTGGTGCATTCGGGTCTCCCTCAGGGGCTAGCAGTACAGACGCGAGATGGGGTGAAGCGGCGGCCAGACACTGGAACTCCTCCTGCCTGTCCTCAAGGACGTCCGTGCCGAGGGCACACTCACCCCCGACGGACGGAGGACAGGCAGACTCAGACTCAGCGACAAGACTGGCAGCGTAGTCTAGACGACAGCGCGCAGCAAAGTCGACAAGCTCAGTGACAAGGGCAGACGCAGCAGACGACTCGAAGGAAGGGTCAGTGACAGCAGTAGCAAGGAGACGCGTGACAGTAGGACTGGCAGCACGAAGAGAGTCCGACTCCGGGTCGGTAAGAGCAGGAAGAGAGGAAGCAGGAGGAGAAGGCAAAGGGGCACGCAGAGGAGCAGTGGACGGACGCAGAGACATCCGGTGCGTGCCAGGGACAGGAGGAGGACGCTGACGCGAACCGCGACCACTAGCGCGCTCTGGACGAACAGGCGACGCAGGACGAGACGCAGGCTCACAACGCTCAGTAAGACCTCCAGTCGGACCAGCGTAGGGAGAAGGAGCAGGCAAAGGGGAGGCAGGCTGTAGCTGTGGCTGTGACCGGACAGGCTGCGGACCCTCTAAGGGAGGAGGAGAAAGTGGAAGACCAAGAACCTGCTGCAGGAGCGGAACGAAGTACGGTCGGGGCCGCGCGGCGACTCCAGAAACAGCAGGAACAGCACCAGCACTCTCGGCAGGAGCACCCACTCCAGCAGCACCTCCAGCAGCACCACCAGAAGCTCCAGAACCTCCAGCAGCAGCACCAGGAGCACTGTCAGTCGAACCGCCAGCAGCAGGCTCAGCGCCAACACCCTCAGCAGCACCAGCTCCAGGAGAACTCGCAGACCCAACAGCTCCAGCACCCACAGGACGAGCACCGCCGGGACGCGCGGCAGCAGTGCCCTCTGCAGCCGAAGAACCACCAGCACTAGCAGCACGCCTCCAGCGCCTGGCAAACCACTCACGCAGCTCCTGTGGGGAGAGTGGCTCCCGGCGAGACGAAGCACCCCCAGGCTCAGCACCCCCAGGTACAGCAGTCCCAAGCACAGCACCCCCAGGCACAGCACCTCCAGGCTCAGCACCCCCAGGCTCAGTACCCCCAGGCTCAGCACCCCCAGACTCCGCACCCCCAGACTCCGCACCCCCAGACTCCCCACCCCCAGGCTCAGCACCCCCAGACTCCGCACCCCCAGGCTCAGCACCCCCAGACGCTGCACCCCCAGGCTCAGCTCCCGCAGCAGCACCAGAGTCACCAGTGACCTCGACAGGCTCGACCGCGTCTACCTGGGACACACCTGACGGGGCAGGACCCTGAGGGGGGAGGGGGTCTACCGGGGGGGGACCTGGTACCAGGAAAAGCGGGGGCGGGGGGAGGGACGGAGTGCGGTAGGGGAAGAGGCGGTAGTAGGGTACCGACTCGTCGAACGTGACGTCCTGGGAGGACAGAACACGTCGAGAGGTGGGGTGGTAGAACTGCCACCCAGGGGCGTCAGGGGGGAACCCCAGGAAGACGCAGGGAGCAGCGCGAGGGGACAGCTTGTCCGCAGACAAGTCGCGGACAAACGCCTGAGATCCCCAGACCCGGAACGCCGACGCATCGCCAACCTTCCCCGTCCACAGCAGGGCTGGGGAGGTCTCCGGCCTGGAGACCCTGGGGTGGAGGTTGATCTGATGCGCTGCGTACCTGACCGCAAACGGCCACAGAAAATGGGGGGCAGCCGCATGCATCATGGACGTACGGGCGACGTCCATGACCATGCCAATGCGGCGCTCAGCAATCCCATTTTGCTGTGGGGAGTCCGGAAGCGTGAAGGACTGGCGGATGCCTCGCGCTCGACAGTAGGCACGAAGAAGGCCAGAGGAGAACTCTCCGCCTCTGTCAGAGTGCAGACGCAACACAGGAAAGTCGGAGCCAAAGCTCTGCCTGAGCTGAAGACGAGCTGCGCGGATCCAGTCGATCAGCACCTCAGTAACCTCACCCTTGCTGCGCAAGGGGAAGACTGTGGTGTAACGCGAGTAGTCGTCAACAACGAGCAGGAAGTAGCGCTCCTGACCCTGTCCAAGGACGCGGGCCGGGCCCCACACGTCCATGTGAAGTGTCTGCAGCGGGGCCTCTGCCAGAGGAAACTGGGAGGAGTGAGGGGCAGCACGCTAGCGCCCCTCGACACAGGGGACACAGGCAGGGCCAGGGCCCTGAGGAAGGGGAGGTAGGGACCGGGGGAGACCAGACACAAGAAGACGGGAGGCCATGCCTCTGAGCCGAAGCAGAGAGGGGTGGCCAAGGCGGTGGTGCCAGAGGAGGGTCTCGTGAGACAGACGACGACACGAACAGGGGGAAGACTCAGGACCAGACCAGGACGCTGCTGCAAACACCTGACCAGACGAAGGGACCCTACCAGACTCAGTACCTGGAGGAGAAGCAGTGGTCAGTGTGTACAGGCTCGACCCTGGCCGACGTGTAAACGTAGCCAGGTGGCGTCCCGTGCTAGCCTCCGTGCAGTGGGTCACCCGCTGACGAGCAGGAGTGAACTGGTGGACACCCGCATCCTGTAGGTCAGCACCACTCACCAGGTTCGTCGAGAACGAGGGGAGGTAGAGACCAGACAGGGTGCCAGAGGGGGCCGCCGGACACGGAAGTACCGTGGAGAAGCGAGACAGGACAGGCCCCCCAGAGGGGTCAGCCAGGGACACCGCAACCGGCCGACTCAGCGGCGTGAGAGTAGTGCGGTCCCGAAAGAAGGAGCGAGACGCTCCAGAGTCAAGTGTGAAGGTGTGAGAGGCCGAAGCCGACACAGTACCTGAGAGGGCAGACTCACCAGTACCTGAGAGCTCAGACGCACTGGCACCTAGAGCAGCAGCCTCACTAGTACCTGACGCAGCAGTACCAATGCCCGGGTCGGGCGGGAAACACCGGTAACAGTCATCCTCATCACTACCAGTCACAACATACATAGCAGAAAGAATAGCATCAAAATCAAGATCATAAATGGCTACACCAGCCCTAGACAGCTCCCCCCAGCGGGGGATCTCAGCGGCCTCCGGAAACTGCTGACGCCAGGCGTCGGTCAGGCGGCCAAAGCAGCGGCGGGCCGTGTGGGTGCCTCCACACCTCTCCCCCGCACGGTCGCCGGTGCGAAGAACGTAGGGGCAGGGACCAAACGCACCACCACGCTGGCGCTGCAAGTACCACTCATGGAGCTGCTGAGGGGCGGGGACGGTGCGAGAGCGTTGCTGCTGCTGCTGCTGGCGCTGACCACCCCCAGAGCTGCTGCGCTGGGACGAGACACTCCGACCCCCGCCGCCACCGCCACTCCCGCCTCCACCACCGCCCCCGTCTCCACCGCCACCGCCCCCACTGGTACCCTCGCCCCCGCCTCCCCCGCTACCGCCCCCGCCGCCACCTCCGCCTCCACCGCCTCCACCAGTACCTCCACTCCCGCCACCACCTCCACCGCCACCCCCACTCCCCCCGCCACCCCCACCTCCTCCGCCACTGCCCCCTCTAGCTCCACCCGCTCCCTTGCCCCCCTTGCCCTTGCCAGAGCGGCGTCTCCCGCTGGGGGCAGACGCCGCACCGACCGACTCAAAACCAGCGAGGTCGGCCGCAGCGGCAGAGGCGACAGAGGGCAGCAGGGGGGAAGGAGAACACCCCTCAAAGATGGGGGTGCGAGGGTCACCCCGAGAGGCCCCTACAGCGACTATGCTCTTCTCAGCCGCTAGCAGGGACTCCTCAAGGAGGTCGACAGTGAGGGTGGTGGGACAGACAGAGAGAAACTGGTCCCTAACGACACGGAGGGACTCAGGGAGACGGGTGACAAGAAAGTAGAGAGTGATGTACATGGGAGGAGGGTTGGCGGCGCGGAACTCAGCAGGAAGGGCAGCGCGGTAGCGAGCGTCATTAGCGCGGAGGTGGGTAATGAGGTCAGCGACAGTGGGAAAGGCAGCGAGGTCAGGGAAGAGAAAAGGTAGCATGAGGCGGCTCAGCGTAGCGGAGGAAGGGGAGGAGTAGCGTGCAACTACAGCGTCATACAAGGCCTGAGCGGTCTTGCACTGACTAAAGTGGGCACGCTCGGAGGAAGGGAGGTGGCGACGCACAGCAAGACGTGCAGCAGCATCGCGGGTCGCCCACTTGGAGCGAACGGCGGAATCAGCATCAGGAGGAGGGGCAGGGACAGCACCAGAGACAAAGTCAAAGAGAGAGACCTCATCGACCGCATCACACAGTAAGTACAGCTGCAGGTCCTCAATCCAGACTGCAAAGTCAATGGCTCTACCCTCAGCGTCAAAAGCCAGGACATTGGGGGTGGCCATGACAGCAGCTGACAGTCTCACCGGGCAGGAAGAGTCGGGTAGGTCAGCGGCGCAGGTACACAGCCCAGGAGCAGTAGTAGCCCGACAGGAGCAGGAGAGCAGCTCCTCTGGCGGCTCGGGCAGCTCGGGCGGCTCGGGCGGCTCGGGCGGCTCGGGCGGCGCGGGCGGCTCGGGCGGCTTGGGCGGCTCGGGCGGCTCGGGTGGCTAGGGCGGCGCGGGCGGCCCGGGCGGCTCGGGCGGCTCAGGCGGCTCGGGCGGCTGCACGGGCGGCTGGGGCAGCTCGGTGGCGGCTCACGGGCGGCTGGGACGGCGCGCGGGGAGCTCACGGGCGGCTGGGCGGGCGGCCAGGGCGGCTCACGGGCGGCGGCGGCGGCGTCAACGGCTCACGGGCGACGGTGGCTCACGGGCGGCGGCGGCGGCGTCGGCGGCTCACGGGCGGCGGCGGCGGCGTCGGCGGCTCACGGGCGACGGCAGCGGCAGCGGCGTCGGCGGCTCACGGGCGGCGTTGGCGGCGTCGGCGGCTCACGGGTGGCGGCGGCGGCGTCGGCTGCTCACGGGCGGCGTCGGCAGCTCACGGGCGGGCTGAAGGCCCACGGGTGGGCGGTTCGCGGGCAGCGCCGGCTCACGGGCGGGCGGCGTGACGGGCGGGCGGCGGGACGGGCGGCGGCGTCACGGGGGGGGGGGGGGGGGGCGACGGGACGGGCGGCGGCGTCACGGGCGGCGGCGTCACGGGCGGCGGTTCACGGGCGGCTGCGTCACGGGCGGCGCTCACGGGCGGCGCTAAAGGGTGGCGACGGGCGGCGGCTCACGGGGGGGCGCTACGGGCGGCCGCACGGGCGGCGCAAACGGGCGGCCACACAGGCGGCGCTACGGGCTGCGCAAAGGGCGGCGAGAACGGACAGCCGCACGGGCGGCGCTAACGGGCGGCGCTAACGGGCGGCGCGAACGGGCGGCTCGAAAGGGCGGGCGCTAGGGCGGGCCCTAGGGCGGGCACTAGGGCGGGCGCCATGGCAGAAAAAAGTTCTAGGTGGTGGGCCCGAAGCACAGTTCCCACAGGGGAACCTGCTCTGATTCCATGTCAAGAAGTGAACGAGAGAATGTGTGAACTATGAACGAAGTGAGTACAAATAGGAAACCCTAGCTGGGTTGTACCCCCTATGGGATACCCCACTATAGCCTACACAAATAAGTAAGCTATAATGTTCTGACATAGCGTGTGCAAAAATTCAAGAACAAGGGCCTAGCGTGTGCAAAATAAAAAGAACAAGGGTATAGCGTGTGCAAAATAGCAAAAACAAGGGCCTAGCGTGTGCAAAATAAAAAGAACAAGGGCCTAGCGTGTGCAAAATAAAAAGAACAAGGGCCTAGCGAGTGCAAAATTGCAAGAACAACGGCCTAGCATGTGCAAAATTGCAAGAACAAGGGCCTAGCGAGTGCAAAATAGCAAGAGCAAGGGCCTAGCGTGTGCAAAAAATCAAGAACAAGGGCCTAGCGTTCGCGAAATAGCAAAAAGAAGGGCCTAGCGTGTGCAAAATAAGAAGAACAAGGGTCTAGCATGTGCAAAATTGCAAGAACAAGGGCCTAGCGTGTGCAAAATAAAAAGAACAAGGGCAAAGCGTGTGCAAAAAAGAAAGAACAGGGGCCTAGCGTGTGCAAAATAAAAAGAACAAGGGCCTAGCGTGTGCAAAATAAAAAGAACAAGGGTATAGCGTGTGCAAAATTGAAAGAACAATGGCCTAGCGTGTGCAAAATTGCAAGAACAAGAGCCTAGCGTGTGCAAAATAAAAAGAACAAGGGCCTAGCGTATGCAAAATAAAAAGAACAAGGGCCTAGCGTATGCAAAATAAAAAGAACAAAGGCCTAGCGTGTGCAAAATAAAAAGAACAAGGGCCTAGCGTGTGCAAAATAAAAAGAACAAGGGCCTAGCGTGTGCAAAATAAAAAGAACAAGGGCATAGTGTGTGCAAAATAGCAAGAATAAGGGCCTAGCGTGTGCAAAATAAAAAGAACAAGGGCCTAGCGTGTGCAAAATAAAAAGAACAAGGGTCTAGCTTGTGCAAACTTGCAAGAACAAGGGCCTAGCGTGTGCAAAATAAAAAGAACAAGGGCATAGCGTGTGCAAAATAGCAAGAACAAAGGCCTAGCGTGTGCAAAATAAAAAGAACAAGGGCCTAGCGTGTGCAAAATAAAAAGAACAAGGGCCTAGCGTGTGCAAAAGTGCAAGAACAAGGGCCTAGCGTGTGTAAAATAAAAAGAACAAGGGCCTAGCGTATGCAAAATAAAAAGAACAAGGGCCTATCATATGCAAAATAAAAAGAACAAGGGCCTAGCATGTGCAAAATAAAAAGAACAAGGGCCTAGCATGTGCAAAATAAAAAGAACAAGGGCCTAGTGTGTGCAAAATAAAAAGAACAAGGGCCTAGCATGTGCAAAATAAAAAAAACAAGGGCCTAGCGTGTGCAAAATAAAAAGAACAAGGGCCTAGCGTATGCAAAATAAAAAGAACAAGGGCCTAGCGTGTGCAAAATAAAAAGAACAAGGGCCTAGCGTGTGCAAAATAAAAAGAACAAGGGTCTAGCATGTGCAAAATTGCAAGAACAAGGGCCTAGCGTGTGCAAAATAAAAAGAACAAGGGCATAGCGTGTGCAAAATAGCAAGAACAAGGGCCTAGCGTGTGCAAAATTAAAAGAACAAGGGCCTAGCGTGTGCAAAATAAAAAGAACAAGGGCCTAGCGTGTGCATAATTGAAAGAACAAAGGCGTAGCGTGTGCAAAATTGCAGAACAAGGGCCTAGCGTGTGCAAAATAAAAAGAACAAGGGCCTAGCATATGCAAAATAAAAAGAACAAGGGTCTAGCGTATGCAAATAAAAAGAACAAGGGCCTAGCGTGTGCAAAATAAAAAGAACAAGGGCCTAGGGTGTGCAAAATTGCAAGAACAAGGGCCTAACGTGTGCAAAATTGCAAGAACAAGGGCCTAGCGTGTGCAAAAAATCAAGAACAAGGGCCTAGCATTCGCGAAATAGCAAGGGCAAGGGCCTAGCGTGTACAAAATAAAAAGAACAAGGGTCTAGCATGTGCAGAATTGCAAGAACAAGGTCCTAGCGTGTGCAACATAAAAACAACAAGGGCATAGCGTGTGCAAAATAAAAAGAACAAGGGTCTAGCATGTGCAAAATTGCAAGAACAAGGGCCTAGCGTGTGCAAAATAAAAAGAACAAGGGCATAGCGTGTGCAAAATAGCAAGAACAAGGGCCTAGCGTGTGCAAAATTAAAAGAACAAGGGCCTAGCGTGTGCAAAATAAAAAGAACAAGGGCCTAGCGTGTGCATAATTGAAAGAACAAAGGCGTAGCGTGTAAAAAATTGCAGAACAAGGGCCTAGCGTGTGCAAAATAAAAAGAACAAGGGCCTAGCATATGCAAAATAAAAAGAACAAGGGTCTAGCGTATGCAAAATTTCAAGAACAAGGGCCTAGCGTGTGCAAAATAAAAAGAACAAGGGCCTATGGTGTGCAAAATTGCAAGAACAAGGGCCTAGCGTGTGCAAAATTGCAAGAATAAGGGCCTAGCGTGTGCAAAAAATCAAGAACAAGGGCCTAGCATTCGCGAAATAGCAAGGGCAAGGGCCTAGCGTGTGCAAAATAAAAAGAACAAGGGTCTAGCATGTGCAGAATTGCAAGAACAAGGGCCTAGCGTGTGCAAAATAAAAAGAACAAGGGCATAGCGTGTGCAAAATAGCAAAACCAAGGGCCTAGTGTGTGCAAAATAAAAAGAACAAGGGCCTAGCGTGTGCAAAATAAAAAGAACAAGGGCCTAGCGAGTGCAAAATTGCAAGAACAACGGCCTAGCATGTGCAAAATTGCAAGAACAAGGGCCTAGCGAGTGCAAAATAGCAAGAGCAAGGGCCTATCATGTGCAAAAAATCAAGAACAAGGGCCTAGCATTCGCTAAATAGCAAAAAGAAGGGCCTAGCGTGTGCAAAATAAGAAGAACAAGGGTCTAGCATGTGCAAAATTGCAAGAACAGGGGCCTAGCGTGTGCAAAATAAAAAGAACAAGGGCATAGCGTGTGCAAAATAGAAAGAACAAGGGCCTAGCGTGTGCAAAATAAAAAGAACAAGGGCCTAGCGTATGCAAAATAAAAAGAACAAGGGCCTAGCGTATGCAATATAAAAAGAACAAAGGCCTAGCGTGTGCAAAATAAAAAGAACAAGGGCCTAGCGTGTGCAAAATAAAAAGAACAAGGGCCTAGCGTGTGCAAAATAAAAAGAACAAGGGCATAGTGTGTGCAAAATAGCAAGAACAAGGGCCTAGCGTGTGCAAAATAAAAAGAACAAGGGCCTAGCGTGTGCAAAAAAAAAAAAAAACAAGGGTCTAGCTTGTGCAAAATTGCAAGACCAAGGGCCTAGCGTGTGCAAAATAAAAAGAACAAGGGCATAGCGTGTGCAAAATAGCAAGAACAAGAGCCTAGCGTGTGCAAAATAAAAAGAACAAGGGCCTAGCGTGTGCAAAATAAAAAGAACAAGGGCCTAGCATGTGCAAAATTGAAAGAACAAGGGCCTAGCGTGTGCAAAATTGCAAGAACAAGGGCCTAGCGTGTGCAAAATAAAAAGAACAAGGGCCTAGCGTGTGCAAAATAAAAAGAACAAGGGCCTAGCGTATGCAAAATAAAAAGAACAAGGGCCTAGCATATGCAAAATAGAAAGAACAAGGGCCTAGCGTGTGCAAAATAAAAAGAACAAGGGCCTAGCGTGTGCAAAATAAAAAGAACAAGGGTCTAGCATGTGCAAAATTGCAAGAACAAGGGCCTAGCGTGTGCAAAATAAAAAGAACAAGGGCATAGCGTGTGCAAAATAGCAAGAACAAGGGCCTAGCGTGTGCAAAATTAAAAGAACAAGGGCCTAGCGTGTGCAAAATAAAAAGAACAAGGGCCTAGCGTGTGCAAAATTGAAAGAACAAAGGCGTAGCGTGTGCAAAACTGCAGAACAAGGGCCTAGCGTGTGC